CCTTTGCCTTCTTTAAGGTTTGTTGGTTGTTGACATGTGGCTTGTTGATCATGACAAGCGAGTGGCTCTGGTCATCTCTGTGGCCAGACTGTTGTACTGGACCTGTGTTTGTTTCTGATAGCATGCTGGATAACACGTTTTTAACTGCCTCATGGGATACAAAATCTCTTACGTAGCAGCTCCTGCAGTACTTAGCTTCGTGTTAGGTGTTTGAGTGAAGAAGGCTGTCAGTCATACAGATGCAGTGGATATCTTCATCCTTCCCAGAAGGCCAGACCAAGCTCTCTACACCAGATCTGGTGGTAAAATGTGTCCTGGTAATGTGCCTCAACCTGGGGAGGCACCTGCATGAGGGAGTGGGGATGGCAAAGGTGGATGCAGTGAGCTTGTCCAGCAGCCCTCATATGCTTTGTTACTGTACTGCACAGCTTAAACAAACTCAGGCCCTGCTGCTCTGGATTTAATGATCTACTGACCACAGATGAGGAATTAGCGTGAAATACACAATGTGATAAGAGATACAATCCATTTGTTGTAATTGTTGCACGTGTCTGAGATATTTGCCAATTAAAAAAAAAAAATATGAATTTTTATGCTTAATTACTTAATTCTTTGCTTTTTTAGATGTCGATTATTTTATAACAATGTAGTTTTCCCTGGGAAAAAAAAGAGAGGAAATATATGCTTATGAGCCTGTAAAATGGACTAGATTTAGATCGGCAACATCTTAGAAACACTTTCACAATATATTCTCTTATTGTTAAAACAAAAATTATGTGGTTTCAGCTTGGCAAATGTATGCCTAGAATTGAAATCAGAAGTATTAAATTATACTAACAGTGTATATACATGTTTGCAGGTTTGGACCCATGATATTTCAGAGCTTTTTACCTCTCTAAAGCTGACAAGGAAGATGAACCTAGTTTAAACCAAGACAGAGAAAGTGCTGTTTATTCCCTTTCCATCCCTGCACAGCCCACGCGCTATTGGAAATTGGAGGTTTTGTGTTCTAGAAGCTAAAACAGTGTTTCTGCTAACATTGTATTAATCAGTGCATGCTATGGCAGCTTCACAGGTGGGGCGTGAGTAACAGGAAAGTAGTACTTATTATGTGAGCAAACCTGCTGCTTCTTGAGAAAAAGGAGTCAGAACTTTCTGCCTCTTTAAAAAAAAGAAAAAAAAAATCAACTCTTCAATTTCCAATCATTTTTTTTTTTTAATTGACATTTTGTTGTTGGAATTAGTAGTAGAACTTATTTCAAAACATGTTTAGCTTGGTTTCCCTAATAAATGAGGCCTAAGTGATCTGTTTTTTTGTCTGTCTTCTTGTCCCCTTCTTCTTCCCTTCCAGAATTCTTTGTTGCTTGGTGCCAGCAAAAATAGATGAGCACAAATCTCGAACCGTGTGTCCAGAAGGTTTGTGGAAATTGCCTTTTGAATCAGGGGTGACGAGGGTCCTAGAGCTAGTGTTGCAGGTTGGCCAGTGACCTGATGGCAGTTGGCAAGTACCTGGCCTCTGTATGTATGGCAGCTGGCCGTCAGGCTGGCATAGCTCTGGGCTGACCACAGCTCATGCTGGTGCTTGACTGGGGGGTGTCCAGAGAGAGCTGAGGGTGCTGCAGGTAAGGAACGAATGGAGGGCTCTGTGATTTAAATTTGTAGGGAATCAGGCTTTGCTCCAGAGTTTGGTGGTCAGCTGGCTGATCTGTGTGAATACTCACAGAAGTGTAGGGATTGGAAGGAACTTCTGGAGATCATCTAGTCCAACCCCCAGGCATTCAGTTTGTAGTGTGCAAGGTCTGATAGTGTCTCATAAAAATAATCAGCTCATGAGTCATTAGCAGCCTACTTTCTGTTTCCTTGGGAATGTTTTTTTTTCTTTTATTGGTAGCCCCTCCCTGATGTGTCAGCAACTATTTTGTCATAGTATTTAAACCCTCTTCTGTAAGCATCTGTGCTTTCCAATTCTCAGATTTTTCTTTCTTTCTTTCTTTCTTTTTTTTTTTTTTCTGAATTTGGGAATTTTTGCTACTTGTTTTAGATGTTTCCAAGAAGCATACATTCACCTGCCTAACAGTGATGGAGAATTGTCATAGGTGTGATGAGACCCTAGCTCACTTCATAGTCCTGTCTAATGAAAGAGTAGAATAACTCTCTAAGTGGGTTATTCTTGAAATTTAGGAAAGTCCTAGGCAGAGGTAATATTAACACAGATAGTGTAGACAATGTGGTAAGCAATTTTACAGAGCTCTCTTCAGTGCTGTTCTTTAAGGCTGCTAGAAATTTAATATAGAGTCCTCCTGGTAACAGCCAGTGTGCAGGCATTGCCTGCCCTTCATGGGTAGATCTAGCTAAAAATGATCTTTTTTCACTCTGTGTCTCCCAGCTGCACAATTCTTTTTATGGTCCTTTAATGACTTTCTAATCTGTGTTATCTTTGTTTTCTGTTTGTGTTTAGGCTAAAATATTTTCACATCAGAATTCAGTGATCTGGTCTTGATCTGCTCTTTCTTTCATTCAGCTGTTAATTAGCACTGCGGGCATTCGATTGCATTAACAGACACTCAAGATGCATTCTTTGTTGGCTGTACAAAATAAGCTACAGAATCATGTTACTCAACCCATTACTGTGATACACCTACTAACAGCATTGGTGGATTTGGCCAAACTTTCTTTTTTTCAGGCTATTACTTGCATGAATTTACTTAATTTTCTTATTCTGGGATGAGGATTGTGCTTTTTAGCACTAAGCAACCTCACATTCATTACGTGCAGAACCAAGCTTGGTTTGCTTTGATTTTTTTGTGTTTGTTTTGTTTCAGTGAGAAGCAGATTGAGGGATATAGTGGGAGCATCTACCAACTGGAGGTACAGTGTATATTAAACTTATTTCTTAAACCCTGAGGGAGCACAAAGTTGTGGTATTAGAAATCAACAGTAATCACTAAGTGATGGGAAGAAAACAAGATTGAAACTAAAAAGTAATGCAAACAAAGTTTCAAATTGTTACTCTGTGAATCACAAACTTCTTGGATTTCTCTGGCAGATCTTCTGCATCAAGGGAACAAAATACATGAGCTCGACGCTTGCAAGATTCTCCTGTTAACTTGGAATCTGGTGGAAGTTTAAAAGCTTCAAAGCTATACTAGAAACATTATGGTGCAATTTTCTCTTATCTCTTGGTGGATTATCCCCATGTTGAATTTATGCTGTACTGGATTTCTAGGCAACAGAGTTGGTTCTGCTTGAAGCAGGCCACGCGTGAACGGCCTGGCTGCATCCATGCAGCCATAAGAGTGTAACCTTGGGGCCTGTGCTCTCCATTTGGGAGTATCTCAAGCATTTTCTCACTCTGCTGTAACTTAACATTGAATTTGCGTCATCTCAAATTTTGCCTTTATCCAGGCTACCTGCCTCCCTCTCTACTCTCTTGGATAAGCCAGAGTTTACTATAATCCCATAACTCTGAAGAGTTCTGAATAAATCAGTGTGGCAATCAGGGGAAAATTTGTTGCTGATTGGTCGGTTCCATGTTTATTTTCTTGATCACTGATTTTCTTATGACTATATTTGCTAAGCTCATTTCGCACTTAGTGCACTGATAAGGAAATGTGGAGAGGCTTGCCTCGGTGGAGTAACTGATGTATCCTGGCTCTCTAACTAGGTTCATCTGAACAGTATTATAGGCACACTGAAGAAAATACCTGAATCTGTGAGGCTGTTTTTTAGTTGGTAGGACTGATAATCAAGCATGGTGGGGCTTGAAATTTGTGGTAGGTCACCTGTTAATGGGTTGAGAAGTTTATAGAAGTCTTTCCCTCAGCCCAGAATAGCTAAGGAGGAAATGTGCTATATGAAGTACTGTCTGAGGATCAAAGCCTTACAAGGCCCTGGACAAATCTAGTTCTCTATCATTTCTTTTCCCCCCACTGACACCCAGTCTGAAAGGAGAGCTGGCTGAAGCTGGGATCACCAAAGCAGTGTTTTTCTTATATAGGCATATTTCTTGTGCTGTATAAAATACAACATAAGTGGTTTGCAGGGCATTGTACACTTCAATTGTCATGCAGAAGCAAGGCATTGGAGCCCATAGTTAGGAGTGCTGGAGAATGACTTAGGCTTACTGTGTGGGAAGGTTTGTATGTAAGAAGGCCTGTAAAATTGGTCTGCAATACAGGCTAATGCCAGATTAATGGGATGACTACATGAACTGTAATGAGGTCTAATGTAAAATCGTAGCCATTTCAGAAACAAACGATGTCATTTTGCAGAATGTTTCAGGCAGTTATTAGCTACTACTTAAATTAAATATTATTGCTGTATATAGAAGTATTATCAGTTGAAAAATAGTATTGCCTTGAGCTCGATATTTCTGTATAATGAAGAGTACATTCTGAAGCTGAAGTCCAGAAGAGTTCTGCTGCTGACTCAAAGGAGCCTGGAAGGCACTGGTGAAAACAGAATGTAGTTGAAATGTTGTTGTTTTTCATGTGCTTGCAGGCAAATTTTTGATTGCTTTTGATTCATTTCTCTTAAAGGTTTCACTAAAAGGCCTTGAATACAAGTATTTTTTTTTCTTTAAAGCAAATGTAAAGGTGCATCATCTTGGACACTGCACCTTTTCTTGGTCAACTGATATATTCCATTTCTGCACAGTGGCGTAACTTGGAAAATAGTATTTTAGAGTGAGTTGTTATCTTCTATCTTTTTTTGAAGTCTGTGGTAATCATGTTGCCCAAATGAGGTAAAACATTTCATTTTTTTTTTTAAACACTAAAAAGAAAAAAGACATTTTTTACTAAACTTCTACTGTTTTTGATTACACAGTATTACTGCTTTCTTCCTCTCCTCAAACGTAAAAACCCAAGCCGAAGAAGTCACTATCTCACGGTATGACTAGTACTCAAAATCAGTCCAAAGCAAAAACTTAAGACAAACTTTCTATTTGGTGAAAAGGTTCTTCCATTTTATTAAAAAAAATATATATATATATATATATATTTTTTTTTAATTGACTTTGTTAAACGGAATGGCACTCAAACCACAGCAGTGCCTCATGCACTACTGAATGAATGGCACGTATCCACTACAAGTTTACAATTGAGTTTGGTTAGTGTTTTATGCCTTCTCTTGCACTGTGAAATGAGTTAATAGTTGTGCATACACATCTTGCTTTACTCCTGAAATATCGTGTGCTTAACCCTGAGTTTTCTAGTGCTTTATTGTTGATTCAAAGGACGTTGTGATCTACTTGCTTTATTCAGTTAGGCTGCACTGTTAAAGTGAGGATGTTTTGGATGAACAGGTAAGAGAATATGATGGGCAAGGTTGTTGCATCACAGATGGTTGTGCAAGGGACAAGCCTGGAAGACTGGAAGGAAATGACAGCAAGTTGGCTGCACTGCCTTGTGAGACTTGCAGCTCCTCTGGACATGGTGGGGATGGAAAAGTAACTGAATTATTGCTCCCTTTCTTGTATTATTTCTTTTCACAACTTTCCAGTTTAGCTGTAAGATAACTGAATAGAAAGGGAAATACCTGGATTAATTCTCTATTTTTTTGTGTGCTAGATAAGTGTATGCTGCATGAATTGATGCTGAGAGGGAAGAAATCATCTGCAGATGACAGCAATTCTTAGCAAATTAGTTCTCTTAGTTCTTAGTACTAACCAGTACATCTGCTTAACTTCTTGGGTGAGATTCTAAGTTGACAGTCCTTTAAAACTGACGGGGTAGGAAGAGCTGTAGTACAGTAGCTATGGAAGACATGAATAGGCACAAAACATTACAGTTCAATTGTATGTAAGTTATGTGTTTTTTTTTAAACTAAGTTGTTCTCAAGGAGAATCAATTTTGTAGCGCTCAGAATTGGATGTGTTTTGTTCATCTCTGTATTGTAAAGTGTGTGTTTGCCACTGATAGACAATACTACTTAATCCTTTCCTTCAGTAGTCTTGCTTTGTAAATCAATTTATGTGCCTTTCTCTTTCTTTTCAAGACACACTTGTTTTGCCTTAGAATGCTCAATTATTTTTTATTTTTCTTTTGGTTATGTGAGATCTGTTAGCTGGGGTTTCAGCTGTCAAGTATGCTGTTGTCATAATCCAGAGAGTGTATCTTTCCTTGCCAGGGATCATGTGCAAGCAATGCAAGAAAGAAAAGCTCTTCATACTTTACTGGCAAAACGACAGGAAGATCTCCCTCCTAGAAGAATGAAAGATAGCTACTTGGAAGTTCTTCTGCCTCTAGGAAGTCAACCTGAAATACGAGAGAAGTATCTGAATGTACACAACAGTGTAAGGTAACAGAGCAAGTATATTATGCCTACAATAAAGTGTTAACTTTGATGTAGTATCGATTCATTTATGTAATTATAAAACAATGTATCTTACAGGTTTGGAAGAATACTTGAAGATCTTGACAGTTTAGGAGGTGTGTATATGAGCCTGTGAAAAGAATATGGTAATAATGCAAAGAGAGTAAGTTTGAGTACTGCTTGTTAGACCATCGTGAGACAGGTTAGTTTTACCCTACTGATGATGTGTTGTTGCGCTAGTAATCCTAAAAATAATACGGTGTGTCCACAGAGGGAGGATCACATCGATGTGACGTCCTTCTCTAGGGCGAAGAGAACAAGATAGCAGTGCTGAAAGAGATGGAAATCCCAGAATCATAGGGTTTGGAAGGGACCTCTGGAGATCACCCAGCCCAACCCCCTGCTAAAGCAGGTTCCCTAAGCACATGAAGGCATAAGGGCATTGGACCATCTGCAGAGAAGGAGACTCCGCCACCTCTCTGGGCAGCTAATTCTGATCAACTTATAAGATTTTGTCTTTGGCAATGGGATTCTGATAAATCCCATTCAGACTCTTATTAACTGAATTGATGCCATGACTGATAGGCATAAAAGTTCTTTTGAATTAGGGAATTTTAGGGAAAGAAAACCTTGCATTTCCTGAAAATCTCCTGGACGGAGATCTTTTATCTCATTAAATACAGAGAGATAATTTTGAAAACTGTACTGAATGAAAATCACTTGAATACTAAGAAAAATACCTTTGCAACATTGTTACTCTGAGTCTGTTTACTTGCATATACTCTTCTGAGCAAAGCTAATTGAGTTAAATAGTCATTTGGTAGCAGGTATTACAGTGTGATAAATACCTCCAACCGTGACTTCATGCCTGTGAGGCATAGCTTATCTAATGTGGCACCTCTTCAGAAGAATCAGTATTTGAAAACAAGTCCTCAGATAGTATCCCTGAACAACCTGCATGAAATCAAAGTAGGCAGTGAGAAGGTTATGAAAGATCTGTGGCAGACAGCTGCAGGGATAAGGGAACAGATGAGGTGGGAATGGAAGGAGTGGAGTAATAGATTAATTTAAATTTCTCTTTATAGTAACTAAATATGCATATAACTGACACAGCTGCTAAATTACTGCTTTTTTTTTTAAATAGCAATTCCATGAATTATGTACATGAAAATGTGGACATTGCGCACTCCTGTAATATGGTACTTCAATTTGGGTTTTGTAGGTGCCTCTTATGCTTCACAAAGATGGTTTTGATCTCTTTTGCTAAAGTTCTTGTTTAAAAACAAAAACAAACAAAACAAAAAAAAAACTAAGAAAACTAAGATCTGACTCCATTTTGGTCTCTTCACAGTTCTTATTTGCTATACTCACACCAAGCAGGAAATGCAGCCGAGATCTCCCTTATCCATAGTTACAGCCCTGGTAGATAAAATCAGTAAGTGGCAATTTGATCAGTAGAAATGTTTCCATCTGTTTATCTTGCTCAGCAGCTACTGTGTTGCCATGGTTGTTACTGAGGATACCTTCTTCCCTCTCCTGTTGAATTCACCTTATAATGGTTTGGCTTTGAATTCTGAAATGCTCAGGGTTTTCTTGAAGGGAGGAACAGAAGAGGATGCTTTTCAGAATGTCTTATTTCCCTACCTTTATAAACACAACTTTAACATCTCCTGCGCTTCTGTGTTTGGTTTCGTATTAGCATGTGCATTTCTTAGCTTTGTTATTAAACAGAGTTTGTTCTGGTGCAGCTGGGCCTCACTCCTGTCACGTTTTGCTGAACCCCTGTGTGGGTCGGCAATCCGTCTGACAGATGCATGCCTGTTTCCTCTTTTGGTTTTAGTAAAAACAGGTAAAACAGAAACTGCAGTATTGTCCTTTGCAGCCCTATCTTTTCTGACTTCATGTGTATTGCTGTTCACGTGACACAGAAACACACATCCTAGAAAAGACTTTCTAATATATGAGCTACGAGTGAGTTGTCCCCAGCATTGTCCAATGTTTGTCTTGTAGATTTGTGCAAGAAAGTCATATATCCGGACTGTGACATCAAATTTACAGGCAATGTTTCCTGGGTTGGGAAGACCTCAATGGAAGTGAAGATGCACATGTTGCAGGTTAGTTACTGTGCCTCTGCTGTGACAGTTACAAGTTGCTGCAGAGTGAGTTCTGGGTGATTACATTAGCAGTCTAAGTTACGCTTTCTAAAATGACTAAGATGATTTCCATTGGTCTAGGTGCGGCAAGGTACTCTTCAGTACTTTAATTTGTCTTAAGCAGCATTTTGTAATTAACTTTGAGAATGGTATACTCATAGAGACAAAATGGGTGGCTCTAATGTGGAAGATAATGTTACACACTGCATCCCGGTGCTGAGAGTGCTGCCAGTTTGGCACTGATAACAAATTGTTGTTTTGGCATTTCTCAGAATAAAAGATAAGTCATTTTACAGTGCCCATGTTGATTTTATTCTATTTTATTTATTTTGTATTTTAGATGCAAATAGTAGATAATTAGTATTCCTCTGCTTAATGTTTTTGTTGCAGAATTCCTGAAGCTGGAGTTTTGTGTTCTTTTCTGCTTAGCTTTTTGTGAGAGGTTTTAGATGACAAACTGAAAGTTAAGTGCAATTGCATTGGTGATGTCAGCTGAATAACTTGCTAAAAACCTTTTGTATTTTGAGAGTTTAAGATATTCTTGTTTCCTGTCTCTCTCAGCTACACGATGGTGATTACAGCCCTGTGTTAGATGCAACCTTTGTCATGGTGGCCAGGGATCCAGAAAACAAACGGTAATTTATAGGACAAGGAAACAGTCTTAACAGACTGCTACTATGGTGAAAGTGTGAAACATGGCAGTTGTGTATGTGCGAAGCTGTGCAGAGTGAAATGCAAATGAATTGTATGGTTGATATATTCTCTTGGCAAGTGCTGCTTTGCTAGGGCAAGCTTCAGAGCATTGAATTCAGGAGTCAGGTGACACTAGAAATAGCTTCTAGCCATGTGGTTTGTCCCTTTTTTATATCAGATTTTCCTCTGTTTGAATGACTGTCCTCACAAAAACAGAAACACACGTGTTACACAGTAATAGAATTAACTGCTTTCTTGCCTAAAAAACTGAAAGATTGAGTCTCAGTGGTTCAGAGTCACAGAATGGCTGAGGCTGACAAGGCCCTCTGGGTCCAACTGACCCAACCTGTGCCCCAGCAGGGACACCCGCAGCAGGGTGCCAGGCCCACATCCAGGCAGCTTTTGAGTATCTCCAGGGAGGAGACCCCAAAGCCTCTGGGCAGCCTGTGCCAGTGCTCCATCAGCTGCACAGCACAGAAGTGCTGCCTGGTGTTAAGCAGGAACCTCCTGTGCTCCTGTTTATGCGTCTGGTCCTCCCACTGGGCACCTGCTTTAGAAATGGGTTCAGGATAACTTAGGAGAAATGTGCATGGACTTATGCAGGTAGCTTGAGTCTTCATACAGACTTCAGTGGCTGTTCTTCAGGCCAGCTGGCCACAAGCCAACTGTGTTTAGAAAATGCAAACTTGCATCTCAGCCTCTTGGGGCTTTGACAAGAGAACTAATGGAGAGGGGTCCTGAGCTGGAAAGAGATAGAATGAGCTGTGCAATAGAGCAGGAGCTGGTGTGTCCCAACGGTCCAACATTACAACAAATGTATGTGTTTATGTGTTTGTGTGTCTAAACATTATATTATTTTGAGCATTTGTTCACATATATATATATATATGTTTAAAATATAAAAAAATAATCTGTGGAAATTACAGGGATGAATGGATCTTGAAAATAAGCTTTTGCCTTGCCTTGTGAAAAGGAATAATTAAGCTTTTTACAACTATGTTAGAATGCATTTACTTGTGCAGTTAAACAGACATAGGAATTAGGACTCAAGGCAGCCTCACATCATCTTTTTTGATAAGCAGTGCACATGTAAACAGCTTTTGGCTGTTGATAAGGCTGTCATGGGAATGTGTAGATTATAAGAAATTTTGCTACCTACAACACTGTGTTGTTTCTATTCCAAGAGGAGTGTTACTGTTGAAGTTTTTGCACCTGTTTTAAACTCTGCTAGATCAGCTTCTACAGAAAACTGTTGAGAAACTCAGCAAATACTTTAATGATCTTCCGTGTAATCTGTGGTACGGTTTTAGCTCCTTAAGAAAACATCACTGCATCAGTTATTTTTTTTTCTTAATTATGCTTGATTGTGGTTGGCTCACTTCACTGCCTCTTCAGGATTGAGGTGAATGTGATATTCCGTGGGCAGCTGCCATTATGAAATAATAGAATTTATTTCTGTGATATAATCTGCAGTACATCTTTTAATCTCACGGCATGTTTATAAACATAAATGGAACGTTTAAAATGTTTTTGTGGGACAAACTCTTTTATAATCTGTAACTTACAAATAAGCCTCTGTCCACAGGTCAGCCTTTGTTAATCCACTTGTTCCTGAGAGCCCTGAGGAAGAAGAAATCTTCAAGCAAGGAGAATGTAAGTCATATTTCTTACCAGAATGCAAATTTGCCTCAAGTCCAATTTAGTAGCTGGAAAGAAGTAAGCTGCAGAAGTTCTGCTTCTTACAAATGGTCCTGATTTGTTTAAAACTAATTTTTTTTGTCATGTCTCTTGTGTCAATATTGCGGGGAGTTTCAAAGACTGCTGTCTCATTTTTGGAAGCTCTTTAGCTAAGCTGATGGACAAGGATGCTCCTGTTGTGCTCTGCACCCTGTATTTCTATTTCCAGGCTGCTACCTTGATGTCAGTACTGAGAGGAATGTGGCCTTTGTGGTTGGTTGTTTGTCCCCATGGTGGGTGTGCTGGAGCAGCTCCTTTCCTGTCTGGGTGCCCATGAACCTTTAGGAAAGACACTCAGAAAATGGAGGGTAGAAGTAGTGCAGCTGCATCTTCACTTTTTTTTTATCACAAATTCGCATTTGTGTACCATTGACAAAACCTGAAGAAGGTTGTTTTTTTTTCTGTAGTGTTTCTTGCTTGATATGTCTTTCTGTTCTTCAGGACGAGTACATAAATTCCCTCTAAGAGCAGCAGATATTATTCAACAGGTCTTTATTTTTTCTTAGTTGCAGTCAGTTCTAAAAGCCAAATTTCTGTTTTGAGTCTAGTAATGTGAACCTCTAGCTTTTAATTTAATGGAGGAATAAAAAAAGAGGGAAGTCATTTGATTCCAGATTAAAATCTTCAGAGCCAAATAATGTGTTTTGTTTTCTTTCTCCTTTGAATTCTAACATACCGATGTATTTTCTGCTTAGTGAACAAGTTGAAGAGGATTGATTTCAGCACTGCTTCCTTACTGAAAATGGCTCCCACTGCAGAAGAAAGGAATGTCATTCATGACCTATTCCTTAATACACTGGACACAAAGTAAGGAAGGGAAGGGTGGAGGGGAAAAGAAGTCTTGAGAAAGAAAAGTAAAGTGTTTTGAGTGGGCTGTTTGTGGGTGGTCTGGTATGAAGTCATACATTTTGCTTTCCCATTTCACCACTTAAACTCTGGGGCATTTTACTTGGAAATGCAGGCACAAACTTTCATATCCAATCTACGCTTCTTGAAAGAGTCCTTCATCATCCAGGAGTGTCAGCTGTGCCAAGCTGACGGAAGTGTTAGCACACAGAAATTTTGAGCAAGCTGTTAGGAATAATCTCAAGGAAAGAGGTTAATGATGTTTATCCAAATAAGGGAATTGGATGGTTTTACAGCTGTGTGACTTGCACAATGCAGGAGTTTTCTGCGTTGATAGAAGAACTTCTTTCAGGGCAGGAATTGAACATATTTAAATCAGGTAACCTCATGATGCATTTAAGGTATAATGCCTGCCAACATTTTTGGAGTGAGATTTCTGTGAAATTGTCCAGTGCATGTGGTTGTAGAAAAATGTGCAATAAGACCAGTGCACTGTTGTATTTGTGGATAATTTCTTTAACTTTCTAGCATTATGTAATTGTTACTTTTAAAGCTGTTTACCAAGTGAGACATACCTTCCATTAAAATGAACAGCTGGGCCTTGTACACATTCTGCCTGGATTTGAACAGCTCCAACTTTCTGCATGCTTGATGTTGAATTTCTCTTTGGGCTTATGTACTTTTAATTCATGGTGTGACTTAATGAGCAACGTAGAGCTTTTGTGGATAAGTGTATGCTTTGTGAATATCTTTCATGTACCTTTCTCTTCTTGAGATTGATGGTTCACATGGGCTTGGACATGAGCAGGCATTTCTGCAAGATGAGAACTATAGGCTTTATGATGCTGCAACAAATCAAGAATGTCATTTTAGATAAGGCTTCAGGATCAGTTGGAGCTGCTTTCAGTGACAACATGTCTTCACTGGTGGCCAGGATTCTAGTCTTTTTCACGTCCCTGAACCCTGCATCCCCAAACCTCTATGTGGGGACCAAGGAGGTAAATCCCTCCCCACTGTAAGGGCAGAGCAAGTCCGAGAGTGCCTCCTTAGACTGAATGAATTCAAGTCTATGGGGCCGGATGGCGTGCATCCCAGGGTCCTGAAGGAGCTGGCTGAGGTGGTTGCCGAGCCGCTCTCCATCATATTTGAGAAGTCGTGGCTGTCAGGTGAGGTCCCGGATGACTGGAGGAAGGGTCACGTCACTCCCATATACAAGAAGGGGAGCAGGGAGGACCCGGGGAACTACAGGCCGGTGAGTCTCACCTCCATGCCTGGGAAGATCATGGAACGGATCCTCCTGGACAACATGCTCGATCACATAAAGAATGAGCATGTGATCCGAGACAGCCAGCACGGCTTCACCAAAGGAAGGTCATGCCTAACTAATCTTGTGGCCTTCTATGATGGAGTGACGGCATTGGTGGACGAAGGGAAGGCGACTGATGTCATTTACCTGGATCTGAGCAAGGCCTTTGACATGGTCCCCCACCACATCCTCATCTCCAAATTGGAGGGAAGTGGATTTGATGGGTGGACGACCCGATGGATAAGCAATTGGTTGAAAGGCCGCAGACAGAGGGTGGTGGTC